TTGTTCCCATTATATCTTCTTATTGGTGGTGGGTTTTGATCTATATGAAGCTTACTGATTTGTGTGTATGTTATTCCCTGCTAAGTTATTGAGTTCTCTTATTTATAATTATAGTATATAACTGAGACAGTGGACATCTTTGTCTTTATCCAGAATCTGATAGAAAAATGAAAATGTACTTACCTGTGCCATGGGGCACAAAATACCTCATGAATGCACATACACATTATTTTGAGCCTGCAAATAAAAATAACTTATCCACGTGAATATCACTGAATCCTGGACACCGTACCTTCCCTACAACACGCAGGAAATAGTGTACTTTACAAGCCTTTTCTCGCTATACAGGAGCCAGAAAACACACAGTTGCACAAAATCATCCTTCCGGAATGCATCCCTCTCATGAGAATGTCTTTTAACACTGCAACATGACGGCTACCAACTTCCTTGTTTTTTACGCAGTGACGCAAGCCCAGGCTCCTACGACAGCTTGTCTTAAAGTGGTACTAACGCCAGCTAATAAACCTCCAACGGTAGAAAATGTACAGGGCACTAATACGTGCGAACGGGTTAAATCAAGAAAGGCGTATTAAGACTTATTTTACTAGTGTGTGTGTGTGTTTCTAGCGTTTGGTTTCTGTTTTATGGAAGCTGCTTCTGTGGTGTTAAATTCATAAATATTCATAGCTGTTACATCTTCATTCTGACTCATTTCCTTTAGCGTTAGCTGCCCTCCTTTGTCTTGCTGAATACTCTTTGACTTCAGTTTTACCTAGTGCCATGATGATGATCGTGATCCCAACTTTCCTTTGGTTTGCCCTTGACTGGTAGATCTTTGCCCAACATTTTTGTCTTTTACTTGTCCAAATCACTTTGTCTTACTGTGTTCTTTTATGCACAGTATCTTGTTGAGTTTTGCTTTGTATGCTAATCGGAAATTATTTTCATTTAATAGCCCATTTTTATTTCTTGATACTGTTTGTGTACTAGTCTGGAAGTTATTTTAATAGCTAATTTTTTATCTATTGTTATTTTCTTTAATAGCCTATTTTCACTCATTGATATGGCTAAATATTTTTGAGTTTAGATCTATCATATTATGTTTATTGATAATATATGTAGGTTTTTTTTTTCTTTATAGCCTTTCACTCGGTGATTTTCTTTTCACTTTTGTGATTGTTGTTCTCTTATTTAGGAAAGTTTGTATTTTTGTTTCGTAGTTACTAATATAGAAAAACTGTGCACTTGGTCCTCCTCTCTCTAGAAACAGTGACTGTTGGTTCCCTACCATCAGCACCGATTTAGCTTATATGTTCTTCCCTTTATTCTCCCCCAGCATCTAAGTAGAGGGTCAGTGAAAAAGAGGAAGACCCTCACTGAGATGGATTGACACAGTGGCAGCAACAATGGGCTCAACATAGCAACGATTGTGAGGGTGCTGCAGGACTGGGCAGGGTTTCGTTCTGTTTCGTCCCTGTGAGTCGGAATTGACTCGACTGTACCTAACAACAGCAGCAGCATCTTATTTTAGTGCTTCCTTTGGACTCTTGAACAGGCTTCAGCGACTGCTTCATTTCTCAGCTTTAAATGATACCCTCTTTTTGTCAGCAAACCCTGTGGCGCAGTCTGGCTGCTATTACAGCTTCTGCTCTCCCGGTCTCCCACTTGTAGTTAGTTGTTTGTATAGTGTCAGAGCCTGTGAGATCTGCCCGTATCTTGTCACTCTGATTCCCACGTTTTTCATCTTAATTCTGGGTAAAAGTTTATAGAGTAAGTTGAATATTCTGGGTCAGTTTTCCCAGGTATATGTGCCTTTTCAACATGCAAGTTCAAATTATCTTTTGTTTTAGGAATATGTTCTTGAATTACAGTTTTAAGTATTTTGCTTCATTGTTTATGTTTTTCTCTTTAGAACCTCCAGTTATACATATGTTCACTTTCCTTTGATTGTATATAACTCTGTATACATAAGTCTGTGTCTGTCACCTTGTATTGATTTGTCTGTCTTTTTTTTCCTTTTTATTGTTTATTTTTAGTTTGTAGCTTTCTTTTTTCTATCCTCTGTCTCTTACCGTAATTCTTGTAGGTTTTGTTTTTTCTTGTGCTTCCTATAATTTAGTCTTCATTTCTGAAATGATTTTGCTTTTTCTTAGATTTGTTTCCTGCCTTCTGTCTGTTCCTATTTTATAGTCTCCTGTTTTCTGGCCATTCCATCCTTTTGAGTGACCATTTCTTTACTCAGTTCCTATGTTTCTGTTTTGTATTGTTCGTTTTATAGCTTTGATGACTTTAAGTTTTTGTGTTTTATATTTTAAGTTCATTTCGTTATGTTGTGTTTTAGTTTGCATCTGAGTTTATTTAAGTGTTGGAAAATTATGTTACTTGTTTTCACAGTTTTTCTTATCCTTGTATGAATGCATAAAAATTATTTTTGTGTTACTCATATTTGTATGAGATAGATTTTCTTAGAAGTACTAGGAAAAGAGAGAGTTACTAGCATCCTGTACTTCAAAGCTGAAGTACTTCTTCATCTACAGGACTTTAGTGTGGCTGTCTGTATAACCCTTCATTCTCACAATGTGTGACCCTAACCTGGTTGAGGCAAGTTTCTACCTCCAGCCCTGTGTTTCCTACAGTTCTTCAGAGTACTAGGATGATACACTTACTTTTAGAAGTTGCTAAATCTGGCACCTTTTCCGAAGTAGTTTTTCTAGCCTGCTCTATCTGCTTCCCCCTACAGAACTTTTCTGTTTAACCTACGTCCTGTTTTCAGTCGTTAGCTCTCAGGGTGAGGGCTTTTTAATCGTAACTGAAATATTAGCTGGAGATTTCTGAACTCTCCCAAGTTCTTAGAACCCCCCTCAACATTCCCAGTTTTTCCTGAGGCCTGTTTGAACTTCTCCTTAGGCCTCTTATTTGGTAGAGTTTAGGTAATTTTTATGTCCCTAGTTTTGTCATTTATTATGTGATTCAGTTACAGCAATTCTCAGGGTAAGTCCTTCATTTTGAGACTGAATATTTGCTAGTTATTTCTGAGATCTGTTTCCTCAGAGTAGAACTGCCCCTATATGGTTTCCAAGGAGTGGCTGTGGATTTGAACTGCCGACCTTTTGGTTAGCAGCCAGGCTCTTAACCACTGTGCCACCAGGGCCAGAGAAAAAACGTATTCACTCTAAATTATGTATACGTGAGCCCAGAACAGCCAGAGTAGCATAACTGGTGCAAGAACCACAACAGTGTGGTGAGGGCAGCAGCATAGACCAGACAATGGTGAGAAGTCCTTGAGGAAACAGAGTACACGAATTGGCTCGGGTCCGCCCCCCGCCCTAATCATCTTGTTTCTTTGTACGGTTTTCAGAACTGCTTGAAACATTCAAAACATTCAAAACTAAGCAGCTACTACGCTCCTGCTAAAACCTTTCCTTGCCCCTCTGACTATTGGTTTCCTAGGATTCTGCCTTTGGCCGTCTTCTCACACTGTGTAAACTCTATGAGCAGTCACGGTTCTGTTGCACTACGTCTTCAGCGACAGTGATATTCTGACAGCTGACGAGATTCCCGTTTCCATCCTAGGCCTATCGTGAGCTCCTGCTGTATACGCAGCTGCCTGCTAGATGTCTTTACCTGCATGTTCCTCAGAAAGCCGGCACTGAATGTCCAAGATCTCAAACTTGCTCTCCCTCCTCGTCGCAGGCTCCCTCCAGCCACCTCACCCTCTCGTGTTTCCTCTCTTGTGTACGTTGCTGTTTAGATCCGTTTCCAGACCTAGCGCTGCCATACCCAAGTTCACACTGATGACAGAGCTCTTCCAGCACACACAGCAGATAAGATGTGTGTGTGGTTTGTGTAAGTAGTAACTTGTATATGATTTCAGATTTGTTGAGAAGTTGGAATAGTACAGAGAAGTTCCGTATATCTTTTCCCTAAGTCATCATTTATGTTTTGCTCTTTTGCTTTTATTTTTCCTTCTCTCTTTCTCTAAATATATGTGTGTTTGTGTTTTTTTTTTTCTGAACCATTTGGGAGGAACTTGCAGACATGCCTCCTTTATCTCTAAATACTTCAGCATGCATTTCCTAAGAATACAGACATTCTCTTTTCAAAATCACAATAAAATCCAAACTCGTTGCTCTCGAGTCGATTCTGACTCCTAGCGACCCTACAGGACAGAGTGGAACTGCCCCATAGGGTTTCCAAACAGTGGCTGGTGGATTTGAACTGCTGACCTTTTGGTTAGCAGCCAACCTCTTAACCAGTGGGCCACCAGGGCCAGAAAATTTAACATTGATAATTATTATCTAATCTAAAGTCTATATTCAGGTTTTGTCAATTGTCCCAATAATGTCATTTATAGATTTTTTAAAAAATGTTTTTTGAATGAATGGGCACACATACATTTACAAGATATTTCTTGGAAGTTTAATCAGAGTATGATGCAAACAAGGTAAGTATTAGGACTCCAGGAAAAGCTTTTTTTTTAAAATCCTGAATACTGTCAGAACAACTTCTTACCCATTGTACCCAGGTAGCTTAGTTCTGATAGGTGTATGTTGCTATAGTCAAAGATATGAGGATTAAATTCAACAGTTAAAATCCATTCAGGAACCGGTGCAGGAGTGTGGTGCCAGAGAACAACAGCAACCAGCCACGTAGGCTATGAACAGCTTCGTTACGTTAGTAAAATTCGGAAAGTGAATTTCCCCCTTTTGCCCCCATTTCTGAAATGTGTGGACACTAAATAGTTTAACTTAGAGTATGGTCTTGAAATGCAGAATTCAAGGAGTCCTAGTCCCTTTGCCCACAAGGTTCTGTGTGCTCCAGCCTCTATGGCAAAAGATCATGACTTTGTTCTTTTTCACAGGGCTGCTTCCTTTTGCATTCCTGGAAACCACCTTCCTCATCCTTCAGAAGGCCTGGCAGCCCCAGGGCTCGGCCTGAGTTCTAGGATGGTGCTTTATCACTGGCATTAACATTCTAGTGCTGTGTCGTTTCCCCAACAGCAGGTAATACAGTGATGCTCCATTGAAGCAGGAAGATGAGCCTGGACGGTGGAGAAAGAATTGGAGAGGAAGTCTGTCCAGGTGAGTGAGTGACAACCAGGGAGGTCATAATTCAGTCAGCATTTACTCCGAGATGTTTTTCCAAGGACATTTTCTTATAGGCCCTAGTCTTGGAGTATCAGTTGGTGTGAGTATTTGTTTTTATACTCTACTTCTTTTCCATCAGAATCTAGAGGGTCTGGTTCCCCACTTATCTCAGTTCTGGATGTCAGTACTTCATAATTCATTTGTACTGCCTCTGTTGTGATCGTTTTCTCTTTCATGAATACCCTCAGTCACATATCCCCCTGTGGGTATAGACTCCTTTTCTCATGCATTGTCCTTATAGGTCTAAAGCCTTCACACGTTTTTTTGACATATACACTCCTTTTCATTACCATTTTCTCTCTTTCAGTGGTCACATGCCTTGGGGTTATATTGTACACTTGCAGTCATACTTCCTGTTGTCTCCTTATCCACTTCTCGTCATACATCAGCAAACTCCTGCTTCTCTCTTGCCCCCTGTGTACTTCTGACAGAAGTTACTGGCTTAAAAACCAGTGCTGCCTTTCTGCGACTGTTCTTATGTGTGTGCATGTATTTATGAGTGTGTTTATTTGTTTTTTAATATAATACATCAACTTGTAAAAATCTTTGAACACCAAGGTGTATACTGAAAAAGTCTCTTCTCACCTCCGACCGTTAGTCCTATAGTTCCTTTTCAAAGATGTAGTCACTTTTAAGAGTTTCACATGTATCCTCGTTGAGACAGTGTATGAATAAATTAGCATATGTATCTGTGCTGCAAATATGCACATACATGCCTTCCGTTTTTCTCTTAACGTAAATGGTGATATGCGTTCTATTGTATACATAGTATTTTTCTTGGAGAGTGTTCTCTACTGATACATAGTTTATTTAACCAGCCTCTTATTAATGGGCATTTAGGCTGTTTCTAGCTTTGTTATTGAAGATACAAGTACATACCTTGTTTATATTGTTTTGCGGAGATGTGCAGATATAACTACGTGGTAATTTACCCTTAGGTGGAAATGATGTGTCAAAGTTATGTTCATAAATTTGATAGAAATAGGTTCATTGCTCTCAATCGTAGTAAACCAATTTACGTTTCCATCAACATGGTATAGTCATATATATTAAACAACTGTTTATTGAGTGAAGTGTATTAGGCACCGTTTCAGTACTGGGGGAATGCCATCCATCAAAACAGTCAAAAAAAAATTCCTTCCTCCTGAGGTCTGTATTCTAATTAGGGAAGACAGACTATAAATAAGTAAAAAATACATTCTATCTTATATTCTATAAGTGCTATGGAGAAAAATAAAGCAAGGAAAATAGGTACAGAGAGAGCCAGTTGGGATTGTAATTTTAAATGAGTTGGTTAGGAAGGTCTCACTGAGGATATCCATTTGAATAAAGATCTGAAGGATGTGAGAGAGCAAAACATTCAGCCAGAAAGAACAAAAAATATAAAACCTCCCAAACAGGAGCTTCCTGTCATGTTCAAAGAGTAGTGATCAGAGTAGTGGTGTAGAGCAGAGTGAGCAAAAGGGAATAAGAGGAGGTTTGGTTAGGTAGCAGACCAAATCATCTAGGATGCTGTAGAACATTGTAAAAACTTTGGCTTTTATTCTGAATGAATTGGGAGATAGAGGTTTTGACCAGAAGAGTGAGAAGATCAGAATTACATTTTAAAGGAATATTCTGGCTGCTCTATAGGGAGTAAGGTATAGTAGGCAAAGGAAGGGAGATCGGCTGGAGACTGTTGCAGTATCCAGGTGAAAAAGGCTGTAGTTGAGCTAGTGAGAAGTAGTCAGATTCTTAAGATATCTTAAAGGAATGGTTGACAGGATTGGCTGATAGATTGAATGGATTTTGAAAAGAAAAAGGAGTCATTCAGATCAAGGTTTTGGTTTGAATAATTGGAAGAGAATGTACTGACATTGGAAAGCTACCGGAATTTTGGGGATATAGATCAGAAGTTTTGGACTTGTTAATTTTGATACATCTATTGATCATCTAAGTGTACATTCAAGTAGGCAGTTGGATAGACAACTCAGAAGTTAGGGGAGATAAAAAGTTATGACCCCTTCTGTCCTGCTATGAGGAGCCCTAGTGGCACAGTGGTTAAGCGCTCAGCTGCTGACTGATAGGTTGGCAGTTTGAACCCACCAGCTACTCCGCAGGAGAAGGATGTGACAGTCTGCTTCCGTAAAGATTTTCAGCCTTGGGAATCCTATGGGGCAATTCTGCTCTGTCCTGTGGGGTTGCTATGAGTCAGAATTGACTGTGGTGGGTTGGGTTGGGTTTGATTTGTCCTGATATGCATGCTCTTTTATTCAGGGATGGTGTCTGTGCATTTCCTTGCTCATCCCTATATTCCCTACCAAACAGGGGTGCCACTAGTTCCACCAAATGGTAGCTCTGGTGGTACAGTGGTTAGCTTGGTTGGCAGTTTGAACCTATCAGCAGCTCTACAGGAGAGAAGACCTGGTGATCTGCTTCTGTAAAGATTATAGCCCAGGAAACCCCATGGGGTAGTTCTGCTCTGTCATAGAGGGTCACTAGGAGTCAAAATCAACTTGATGTCATACAGCAGCAACAACAACGGGTCCACCAAATATCCTTCAGCCAGCCTACATTCCTGGATTCCGTTGTTGCAAATGAGGAGCTGGTGATTTGGCCCTTGGAGGATATGATTCATGTTTTTGGAGATCACTGGGCTTGAGGACTTGGCCTTAGAACAGCCGCAGTAGCTGTCGTGGTTGGACGCTGTTTTGCTTAACAGACTGCATCCTGCCTTCTGAGTTGTATCCTGTTACTTCCAAGTTGATCCTGATCCTGAGTTGTAGCCTGTTAACTTCCTGATAAACCACATAACTGTAAGTACAGGTCAAGAGTTCTGTTAGATGTTGCAGCAAATTACTGAACACAACAGGGGAAGGAGAAAGCTGAGGTGAGGGGGTGTGGTTGGTGTTGGATATGATGGAGTGGTACAGCAGCTTGGAGAAGTTGGAAATCTGGGACATATTTAATCTCCACCTGACAGGAACCAACTTTGTGCTGATTCTTATTAAATACATTCATTTACCCAGATATAGATGGAGGTTGAGAGAGCAGGCAAGTAGCTTCCTACCAAAGCGATTGTAGGGGAAGGAAAGGACGTTTATAAGAGGTGGTTAAACTACAGACTTTCTTAACATCACTTTCTAGCTTAACAAGAATCTCTTATTCCTGGTACAATCTGACTAAGGCAGTATTTCTAAAACGAAAGTACAAACATTCTTGATGTGTAGGTTGAGTAATGGATTGCAGTCTGAGTCAAGCTTCATTGGAGTCTCTGAAATGTAAAATCGAGGAAAGAGTGAAGATTAAATCAGCTCTAAATCTGAAGTCTTCTGAAATGTAAACATCACCCATCCAGCTAAGGAGGAGTGAGATAGGGCTTGGGAATTCACTCAGTGAATTCCCTGAAAGCAGTCAAGATAGCAGGTTTATTTTTATAAGTTAAAGCGAAAATCTCTGTACTTATTGTGTTATAGATGGTCATGACTTTTACAGCTGCGATCTGCCTCATTTTAATAAACTTAGTCTGTATTTAGTTACCAATTTACAAAGAACTAGTAGAAGTACAGTGGAAAAATCCCAATGAGTAATAATTTAGGAGTCAGGAGAGGGCACTGAGGCTTGATATATACCTATCTTGGCTATGAAGTTATTTATAGGTTCTAACTGTATTTAACATTATTCCTTACTTTTTTTTGATGAACAGTGTACCTTCTCTGGGGCCAGCTGTGTAAACATTCTTAACAGGCACTGAGTAAATCTTTACCTAGGTTACAAATTCTGGCTTTTGTTTTTCAAGCAGTAAACTTTGACAGAAGGCTAAATGATTTCTTGAGAATAGTAGAAATGATATCTTAGTTTAATCCAGAATGGAGCTTTAAATTTAGGTCTGAAGTCACTTAATTCAGATATGCCAGCACCTCAGATTCTAAAATTCACATACACACGTCTTAGAAAAAAGGATCTATTTATTTTATGTTTGTATTACTCATTTTGGATTTCTCTGCCACTTCTGTTTGATTGATGCTTTGATGATCTCTCATCTTGCTTTATGTTTCTGTTTTTCTTGTCTTTTACTCGTCTTTCTTTACTTTCTCATACTCCTAATAGAGGTGACTTCTAATATCCTGCATTCTGCCTTTTCTTATTCCCTTTATAAATTAATGCCTGGGAAGAACTCATGCATTTTGAAGTTAGAAGTAACTCTTCCAATTGATGTTAGAAATAACATTACATAGTATCTGTGTGTGTGCGTGCCTTCTCTGACACACATTCTAAATATGCTCTGTGCCACCAACTGCAAGTGCCGTTTTTCTTCCTCTGACCCTAACCACTAGAGCTAAGTCAAATCTCACAAGTTAAAGGGCATAGTCCTCCAGATTACCAAATCTGCCCAAGACTTCAGAATCTAGCCATAAGCTTGGGGCTTCCCAGGCCCCCCTCACTACTAACCTGCTGGCTACAATTTCAGTTCTATAATTTGCTAGAATGACTCACAAAACTCAGGAAAGCACTATACTTACAACTACAGTTCTATTTTAAACGATATAAATCAGGACCAGCATAAAGGAGAGATGCGTAGGGTAGGGTCTGGGAGAATCCCGAACGTGGCGTTACCATGTCCCAAAAAGGGACATGTCACCCTTCTAAGCATCTCACCAACCAGGAATCTCACCCAAGCTTCAGTTTTTATTGGTGTTTAATTATGTGAGCATGATTGATTGAATCATTGCCCACATGGCTAAACTCAACCTTCAGCCCCCTTCACCTGAGCTTGGAATGATGTCACTTGGACCTTTCTGGCGTGGCCAACCCCCACCTAGGAGGCACCTTGTTAGCATAACAAAGATTCCAGTCACTCTGGAAATTCCAAGGGTTTAGAGGTTATCTCAGGAACTAAGGACAAAGACCAAATTCTTTGGGTAAAGTTAATTGTATCCAGCACAAGTATGAAT